GGCCGGTGTCGAGGAAGTCGTCGTGGAGCCGTGGGTGCAAGGGGGCGCCGAGTTAGCATGGGCGCAGTGGTGTCGAAGTAGTGGTGCGCCAGGGAGAAGATGTTGTTGACGACGCGTCGCAGCGGGTTTGCCAAGTCCGGGGACACATCGTGGACGAAGGCACGCACCGATGTTGCCAGCACCGGGCATGCGTAGACGGACGAAGACGAAGTTGACGAAGCACCGACCAGGCTTGCCATGCCCGGGGACACGTCGTGGATGAAGGCACGCATCGGTGTTGCCAGCACCGAGCATGCGTAGACGAGGGACCTACACGAGCTGTACGCCATGTCGGAGAAGTCGGAGGGGCTAGCAGAGAAGAACTTGACGACGGTTGTGGCGCCAATCGGCGCGGGTCCAATGTCGCCAGCGGTTTGTCAGAGTAGATGAAGCGGTTGGGGTAGATGAGGCGACGCTGGCGACGAGCTGGTGCTGGACGAAGATGAAGGGGGTGGACGGGCGGCTCCGGCGGCTACGGAGGTAGCGGCGGCGGCAGCCAAAGAAGAGCGGCGGCGGCGGCCTGACGTCGGCGGCGGCTAGGTTAAAAGTGCGGCGGCGGTGCTTGAAATAGGCGAAGAACCCTGACAGCATGACGAAGACTGGCGCGGACGGTGACGTTCCCGCGCCAAGGGAGACGGTGCGACGCATACCACGGGAGGTCGACGCGCAGTGACGGCGGAGTGGACTGCGGGCCGTAGCGCTATGGCCCGAAGGGGCGACGCAGCTGCAGCAGGCGGGTCGAGGCGATGGCGGGAAGACCTCAGGCCGGCGGCGGGGACCGCGGGCCACGACGCTGCGGCCCGAAGGGGCGACACAACGGTGGTTTGCGAGTCAGTGCAACCGCGGGGACGGCCTCGGGGCGGTGGCGGCGGGGACCGCATATCGCGACACTACGGCCCGAAGGGGCGACACAGCGACGATGCACGAGTCGATGCAGCCGCGACAAGAACCACGGGGCGGTGGCGCTGCGGCCCGATGGGGCGACGCAGCGGCAGCCCGATGCTCGATCGGTGGAGAGGCGCGCTGAACTCACGGACGATCTTCACGGGACCTACGGAGGCGCGCGTAACCGACGCCCAGGTCGGTCGCGCGGCGTAGATGAGGCGGATCGCGGAAGCAAGCGGGTGATCAAGCCGATCGCGCGCGAGGTTGGGGACGCCGCTCAGTGGAGGCAGGGTGGCGGCGAAGTCCGAGATGAGGCCGGCGACGACGGACGACGTGGGACGTCGTGCGGACGAGCTTGTCAGCACCGGCACCGGGCCGCCAAAGCAGCGCCAACGCCCTGGCAGCAAGGCCCGAGCGACCAACGGAGTAGCGGCGCCCAAGTTGAGGCAGCCGACGAGCCTAACGTAGTTGTCCCGACGCAGCCGAGGACGAGGCCGGCGAGGTAGACTGCCGGGCTGCCGTGCAGACGCGGCGGAGGCGGGTGACGTGGATCGATGGGCGGCTCGGGCGCGAGCGATGGCTATGATTGGCCGTCGCAAGGCGCGAGGCCGCCGGGTCGGGGCGATGCTGGTGTCCCGGTCGGAGCAGGACGGTGATGGCCGGCGCAGGGTGACGGCCGGCGCAGGGCGACGGGTGGACCGATGTGCGGACGGCGGCTGGCCCTAACAGGCCGCCTCTGCGCGCGTGGCCGTTGGGTCGGAGGAGAGGCCGGCTGGTCGCGCCAGGGTCGAAGTAGAGGCGCTTGGGGTCGATGGTGGCGATGGGCGACGCAAAACGATCAAGAATAGCTCAGAAAACCAAAAAGAAACCGCGCGATCAAGATGACCGGCGGGAGAGAGAAAACCCCGGAGCAAGACTCGGGGAAAAGACTCTCTAGGGCAGCCAGTCAACACGAACGGCGGACGAACCCTAGGTACGGGCGGCGTGCCCCCCGGCGGCGGTCATGGAGGCCGACCGCACTGGGGGCGGCGCGCTGGTGCGGAAGCGGCGGCGGCTAGGATTTAGGATCGACTTGCGATAGATATCATGTTAAAAGGAAGAGAGGAAGATTGGTGGAATAGTTTGGTGTATTGCTTGAGCCTCATGGGCATATATATAGGAGCACATGATCTATTTGGAGTACAAGGCAAGCCAGAATATTTCCTAGTCTAACCTATGTTTCCTAATACAATCAGGTTACTCAACACGCCGGGCGAAGCTGCAATGCAACGGGCGTGCTACTTTGACCCGGATCTTGCCGCTTGCGGAGCTGCAATGCAATGCAACACATGTGCTGCTGCGA